TGGCCCTTTTCCAGTCCTCAGGGACCTGGCCCGAGCACCAGGAGTCCTCAAACAGCCGTGCCAATGGTTCCGCAATGACACCAGCCAATTCCCTCAGCACCCACGGATGAATCCTTAAATCCTTTGCAACTTCATTAGATGGCACATAATAAAATGCAGTGCATATTCCCCCAAACAAAAGACAAAGTGACATGAAAAGGAAGCCTCCTCCATCTTTCTCCCAGTCCTGTAATTAAACTATCTTTGCTCCTTCACAATAAGACTGCCCTATAACAGAGATGTAAGCTAATGCATTCAATTCAAATTAATCAAACGAACAAAAAGTAATGTCACAATCCACTAATAAAATTGATAACAGTGTATTCTTTAACAATATTCAAAGGACATTAGTATTTTAAGAAACATTCACCATTAAACACATACTGGATCATCTCTCTTGCTCAAACACTGAGAACTCCAAAATTTAAGAATCTCAACTCACCTTCCACACTATCAGAACAGGAGGTACCAATGCCTGTGTCCCCGCTGTCAGAAGCTATACTGTGTCTTCTGATATGGTTACTTTGACTGCTTGATGGACTGTTAGTGGCCTGCCACAAGGATTCAGTACCAGGCAACCATCCCGCTGAAGAATAATCTGAGCCTATAAAGAAGGAAGTCAGAAGTCTGTCATTCCAGATATTGACTACAAGTCAAACAGCACTTACATATGAAAAAAGGTACAAATCAGGCTCTGTGTACCCTATTGCAAGCTTGGCCCAAATACTGCACCAATTATTTCTACTGCAATCAAGCACAAACTTACATTTCCTCTAATAGGTTCACATAAATACACGGCACTCATCATTTTCATATTTTATAAAATGAGAATATACAGTAACATTCACATAATGTTTAACAAGATAAATACATTTATTTCACTGCCCATTTCTGAATTCAGTTGTCACCACACTGAATAATTTTGTACTGAAAGCATGCAAGAGATGAAAAAGGGGAAGCAGAGAGTTTGGACAATCGAAAAGTTGTATGACCCTTGAATATGAAGGTGGTCACAAAGTTGTGGGACAATTACTCTGTCTGAATGCATTCTCTTAAATAAAATGAGCAGGGAAACAATACTGAACCATCTTTGGGTTTTTCCAGAGAGATTTTATTACTCTGCAAATTTACTCTCAAATCTATTGTTTTAAGCCTGTTACGGGGTCAAGGCCGTTGCAAATTGAAGACAACCGTGTTTCTTTACTCTTTTCACTATAAGAACTATTTTTAATAAAGATGAACGATTATATTCTAGAGCATAGTTCTGAGGAGAGAGGTGGTTTCTACAGCCAGGAAATTGCAGGTTGTGCACACCTATTCACAATTAGTCCCAAGAGGATCATCACATGTTTATTTCAATAGCCTTCTAGCCCAGTTGCCCATCACAAAACAGATTTTCATCAACCAGTATCTTAAGCATATTGTCCAGGAAGAAGAGTGGATAGGTACTGGAATACTTCAAATCAATAGCTCAACATTAAAACCTAGAAGTAGTGCACAACCCAATTATTGTTATACGCTGATCTGGCAATAACTATGCTGCAGTTTCTATAACAGATTATTTTTATTAAGTGATAATGCTGATCCTACAATAGCAACTGTTCTCACCTGGCACACAGGCATTTTTCTTCCTTTTAGATCATTTAACATGAATATTCAAGTTTATTACGTTCTACCAAAGTACTGGGCTTCCTTGACAGTGAACTGCCAATGCACAGAAAAATCTCTGAGAAGTAAATGCAGCCTATAAACTGATGAAGTAGTTTATATGAAAAATACTCCCATCTACCTACTAGCCAAATAGTTGCCAAGTATAGTATTGCATTGTAATACAATGTCCACCACTTTCTAAGTTCTTACAATTGTAACTTAATATCCCCCTCATTTTTGCATACCCTTGCCAGCTATACCCATTTCTCCTTTTCCATAAACAAGATCTTTGTTTCTTCCCATATTAAGTCTTCATTGTTGCCATTTCCTGCTCTTTTCCCTTCACTCCCTTTTAGCTTTTTCCTAAAACCTGCTACCTCTTTTCTGATTTGTACCACATGCCTCCTTTGCAGAACTCAGAAGTGCTACCAGACTTAAAAAAAATATAATAAAATACAGGGAACTAGGCAGGACCACCTTTTTTGACAATGTTAATCTTACCCATCAGCCAAACCTGGCAAGAGAGAGACTGCTGACATTCAATAAAGTGTACCAGCCCTAAGCTCCATTTAGGGCTCCATCCTAAATATCATTCTCCCACATAACAAGAACCTTACTTATCTGAAACTACTTTATTCCTTTATAAGTAACTGAAAGAGAGAAGAGCTTTCATTTTGTTGTATCCCAACTCCCACCACCAATACATCCTTCCCCTCTTCTGCACCCAGCATCCTGACTGCTGCAGTGAAGAGAGTTACTTTTTCCTCCTTCCATCAGTTTCCTTCCTAGCCACTAGCTCCAGTATCTATCTTGCTGCTCCTAGTTGTTCAAAGCAGAGTAAAGTTGACCTAAAGCAGCCTTAAACCAATTAAGCTCAAAACATTTCAGACTTCAGAGAGAAGTCTGCTTGGCTGAGGGGTTTACATTGCCTTTCCTTTTAATAATATCAAAGTGCAAAAATAGATAAAAAGCAAGATTCTTGTTGATACTGCAGCCTTTATGACACAACCATATGGGGAAAATCTTATCAAAATAAATACACAAAATCTTTCTCCCCAGTACAGCAGAAATGTTACCACCATGATGTTACTGCAGTGTTAAGTGCCCAGGTCTAGACCTTTTTGTATATTCCATTTTTTATCATTATTCTTTTAATTTAAATAAAAAAAGGGACAAATCCTGTTGACTTCCATTCAAGTTTATGGTGACTAAACATAGGAAGTCTCCTACAATGTATAATGATATGCTAAAATGACTTATGAGGACAGGCTGAGAGAACTTGGCTTATTTAGTCTAGAGAAGAGAAGACAGAGGGGATTTAATAGCAGCCTTCAACTACCTGAATGGGGGTTTGAAAAGGGATGGAGCTAGACTTCTCAGTGGTGGCAGATGACAGAACAAGAAGCAACTGTCTCAAGTTACAGCAAGGGAAGTTTAGGTTAGATATCAGGAAGAATTTTTCCACTAGGAGGGTAGTAAAACATTGGAACAGGTTACCCAGAGAGGTGGTAAAAGCCCCATCCTTGGAGGTTTTCAAGACCCGTTTAGACAAAGCTTTGACTGGGATGATCTAGTTGGGGCTGGTCCTGCTCTGAACAGGGGGCTGGACAAAATGACTCCTGAGGTCCCTTCCAAACCTAACTTTCTATGACTCTACAATCTGGTACTACACACCATCAGTGGGCAGAACTATCCCACGCCAAGAGAAGTTCTCAGAGTCCTTGTGACACTGGAAGGCAAAATGCCTCCAACAACTATCTTGTGTACACCCATAGGGCCACTCCTGAGAAATTAACCATTCCACTGTGCTGTAGTGTGCTGAACACAGATAGGAGAGTAGAGGGCTTGCTTGGCCCTAGCTAGCACCTCACCTCATTACCCATTAAACGGGCTTTGTGCTAACAAAGGAGCAAGTCAGTATTCAAGGGAAATGCCTCAAGTTAGAAAATGTTTTTTTAAATGTCCGCTACCTATTTTTGGGCAAAATATGCCCAAGGATTACTAATGTGGCTGATCCCTTTGCAACAGATATAAGATAGCAAGCAGCAGGTAGAAAAGGTTCTTTGTATTGCCTTTTTCCTTGTACACTATACCAAAAGCCAAATACATTCTGCTCATCAACGGAGGCAGCATGTGCAATGTCATAATTCTAGTCATCTAGACTTTCAGATGCACCATGGAACAGAAATTCAGCTATTCATCTATTTTATCTTAATGTTCTATACATGTATTTTGCATAATAGAAGAAAACCAATATGCACAATGGTCCTCTAATATGAAACAGTTTTTTTAAATCTAAATTAACTGTTCAAAGAGACAGAATGTAATAAGTTACTCCTCTTTTTACACTGAGAAACTAAAAAACATTTGTTTCAACAGAAAGTTATATTACAGTTTTGAGTGTCAAATTGCAAAACCCCAATTCCAAACCAAGGCATTTACACTGCTGCTAACCATTAGGTGCAAATTAGGAAACAAAAGACCTTATATGCTAAATTAATTTAGCGTATTGTTTTAAAGTCAAGTTCACTAGCTTTGGGTATCTAAATGGAAACCACTTGACAAAGTCAAGACATCTACTTATGTCCCCCACCTTCTCTTAGGCACAATTCTGTTAACATCTGGCCTCTCACTTTCATATAACTCAATCTAAATGAGCCAAACATAACTTTGGCAGATGATATATATGCAAGGTTCCCTACTCTACATTGCCAACACTCCTGAATTACCCTGCTGTTCCTATCTTAAACCTGCCAATCAGCAAAACTGCCAATCTTCACTCATCTGGGAGAGCAGCAACTAACAGTGATTGCACACTGCCTAGAAACAAAGATGCAGTATTTCAACTTTTGACCACTTCTATCTCCATATGCTTGGCTACTCTGATTTACTCCATAAATATTGGCTCCATAAAGATGGAAATTGGTTTCAATTCCTTCCAAAGGTACTGCAAATGAAAATACCCAGGATTCTGACAAGGTCCAAAATGTTGACATACTGTATTTACTTGAATATAACAGAAGGTTCCTCCCTCCCCCACCAATTAGCACTGGGAGGAAAAAACCCCTTCTCTATCTGCGAGGCTTGGGGCGTGGTACAGGGGTGGTTGGAGCCATGCATAGCTCATAAGGTTGGGGTGTTCAGAACCCCGTAGTATAGACAAGGATTGGGGTAGCAGGAACTGTGACCAGGAGGGACAAGAGGCAACCTCCCTTTAACTTTCATAAGATCAAGACGCGGTGGGCGAGAACAAGGGTGTGTTAACGCAAACTTGGCATGGCAGAGGGGCGCTAGGGGAGAGCATGGCAACCCTAGGACGCTTTCCCCCCGCCTGGTACAGTCTCCATCAATTTCTGCCATGGGCCAATTCAGCAGGTGATAGGAGCAGCTGCAGTAGGGGGCCACAGGAAAGAGAAGGGATGGAGAGTTGCGGTAGCAACATAAAGCATGCTAGTAGCTACTATTTTTGACCCAGTGAAGCCTCCCTCACCACCACTGCTGATTCCCCTAATCTGCTGATGTTTTAACATGCAAGCAGCTACAGGCTAGATAAGATCACTTTCCAGGTAAGATCCAGCCTCTAGGCTGTAAATTGCCAACTCCTGATGTAGGCCACAAACAAATGAAGAGAGATATAAAATTAGTGTGGTATATAATTTTTGGATTAAATGAGATCAAGGAAACCTAAAATAAAGACAAATTTCACATATTTCTAACATTTCTATTTCAAAATGCTAGTCATTCTAAGGAAATTCTACAAGACCTACACTGGCATTTATCATTTGCAATATTACTTCTACAATCCAAAGCTAAAAAATATAAATTTTCAGAAGTGCCTAACATACCCAAACCTGAAAAATACCTTCTATACCAGTGAGTAAATTCCATGGTATCATAAAAATCATAAGGTCAGAAGATACTTTGAGAATCATTTAGTCCAACCCCTTACATAAA